AATGCCAACATGAAAACTGTCAATGTTAAATGCTATCGTTGTAAAGAAATCGGACACTACCGAACTCAATGTCCAAATAACTCGAATTTAAACAATAAAAACGAAGTCCGTAAACAAACCAACGCATTTTCAGCTGTATTTCTAAGCGGAAGTTTCAATAAAAAGGACTGGTATATCGATTCCGGTGCTAGCGTCCACTTAACCGCTAACACAGATTGGATAACAAGCCGATACCGTAAAGTTCAAGAAGATATCATAGTTGCAAATCAAGAAACTGTTTCAGTTACGTGTGCTGGCGATGTTAAGATAATAACTACAGTGAATGACAGAGAAATAGACATCAACATCGAAGATGTGTTTTGTGTACCAGAATTGACGACTAACCTTATTTCTGTGAGCAAATTGATAGAAAAAGGAAATAGAGTGTATTTCAATAAGGATGGCTGTCTTATACACAACAGAGATGGAGATTTAGTTGCTACTGCTACATTGTTGAATGGTGTCTATAGATTGAACACACAAGAGAGGTTGATAGCTGCGGCCACCACCTCAGATCACATTTGGCATCGCAGATTAGGTCACGTGAACAGTGATAGCTTGATGAAAACGAAGAATGCTGTAACAGGAATGGATTTCTTTAAAAAAAATGAGATAAGCAAATCATCATGCAAGACATGTTGTGAGGGCAAGCAGTGTCGGCTACCTTTCACAAATGTTGGTACGAGAAGCACAGAACTATTAAATGTTGTGCACAGTGATATTTGTGGACCCATGGAGGAGAAATCACTAGGAGGCTCGTCCTATTTTCTTTTATTTGTTGACGACTTCAGTCGAATGACCTTTATTCATTTTTTGAAGCATAAAAATGAAGCTCTGAAATATTTCAAAGAGTTTAAGGCGATGTCAGAGAATCAAACTAATAGAAGAGTGAAATTCTTCAGAAGTGACAATGGAAAGGAGTTCTGTAATTCGGATTTTGATGTTTTCTTAAAAAAATATGGCATAGTTCACCAAAAAACGAATCCATATACACCACAGCAGAATGGGTTATGTGAAAGGATGAACAGAACCATCATTGAGAAGGCAAAATGTTTGTTATATGATGCCAAGATGAATAAAAAAATTTGGGCTGAAGCCTGTAATACGGCCGTATATTTGCATAATCGGACAGTTTCATCTGTTTTAGATGGTAAAACGCCATATGAGTTATGGACAGGTGTTAAACCAGATCTTAGCAATCTGAGGATCTTTGGATCACCAGTCATGGTCCATGTCAATAAAGAGAAGAGGTCAAAATGGGATAAGAAATCCACTGAATGTATACTAGTTGGATTTCCCGAGAACATCAAGGGCTACAGAGTGTATGATCCTGTGAAAAGAATTATAACCACTAGCAGAGATGTGATTGTAATGGAAAAAGAATCAATCATGATGGAAGTTGCATCTGACGGCAAGGATCAGGAATCTGTGAATGATGGCATGCCCCAGGAAAGCCCGAATCTACAGGATTCAGTGGGGGATGAAACAGACACAGATACAACTTTAAAAGAAGTGTCAGAAGATGATTCTATTTCAGACTACATGCCGAGTGAGTATGAGGATTCTGTAGAAACTATAGATGATGATTTTCATCGAGTCAGACCTATAAGAGAACGCCGTGCTCCAGATAGATATGGTTTTGGTTTAATCTGCTACTCGGAGAATGATATGGTTTGCGGAGCTGATCTTACACTGAAGCAAGCATTGAAGGGGCCTGAGGGAAACCAGTGGTTGCAGGCTGTCAAAGATGAACTTAAGTGCTTCGAGGACAATGATGCTTGGGACGAGGTAGATATTCCTAGTAGTGGTACAATTGTGCAGTGTAAGTGGGTGCTCAAAAAGAAAATGGAACCTGAAAATAAAGTACGTTATCGTGCGAGATTAGTGGCAAAGGGCTTCTCCCAACAACCGGGTATAGACTATGCAGAGACATTTTTACCAGTGGTGCGACATAGTTCTTTAAGATTACTTTTTGCTTTGTCAGTAAAACTAGGACTTGACATTATACATTTTGATGTGGTAACTGCATTCTTAAATGGCGAACTTCATGAAACTATTTATATGCAAATACCTGAAGGTTTTGATAGTTCAAATACTAATAAAGTTTTAAAGTTAAAGAAAGCCATTTATGGATTGAAGCAGTCATCAAGAATGTGGTATAACAAAGTAGATATTTGTTTAGCAAAAAATGGTTATTTAAAATCTAAATATGAACCTTGTTTATATGTAAAGAATGAAGATAAAAATATGACTATAATTGCGTTATATGTCGATGATTTCTTCATTTTTTCAAATTGTTCTAAAGAAACTGATAAGTTAAAGTGTGTATTAGAGTCTCAGTTTAAGATTAAAGATTTAGGCCAAATAAAACAATGCCTTGGTATGTCAGTGTGTTATGATAAAGAAAATAAAGTGTTAACATTAGATCAAAGTCAGTACATAGAACAGTTATTGTTAAAATTTAATTTAGAAAATTGTAAAACTATAGATACTCCTATGGAAAGTGGACTGAAGTTGGCTAAACATAGTAGTTGTGATAAGAGTTTACCATACCAGCAATTAATTGGTTGTTTAATGTACCTTGCCATACTTACACGTCCGGATATTGCATTCTCAGTAGGATACCTAAGTCAGTTTAACAATTGCTATAGTAGAGAGCATTGGGCTCATGCTAAGCGGATCTTAAGATATTTAAAGAGAACTAAAGATTATTGCATTAAATATTGTGGTACAGGTAATAAGGATATAATTGGTTATGTAGATGCGGATTGGGGCAGTGATACTTTAGATAGAAAATCATACACCGGATTTTGTTTCAGCCTATCAGGAGGTGTAATTTCTTGGAGTGGTAAAAAGCAAAATAATGTAGCTCTGTCTAGCACAGAAGCAGAATATATTGGTATCTCCGAAAGTTGTAAGGAAGCTGTTTACTTAAGAAATTTGTATAAAGAAATAACTGGTTGCTCTGATTCTATTCTTATATTTAATGACAATCAAAGTGCCCATAAGTTATTATATAACACAGTTTTTCATTGTAAATCAAAACATATAGATATTAGATATCATTTTGGAAGAGAGTGTATTTATAAGAACATTGTTAAAGTAGAGTACCTACCAACAGCTGATATGGCTGCAGATGTTCTAACAAAATCTTTAAGCTGTGTAAAACATTATAAGTTTTTGGAACTGATGGGGGTGCAACATAAATGTATTTAATTTGTGTCTTAGTACGTTGTATTTGTACTGTATAACATTTTGATATAGTGGGGGTATTGATATTATGTAGGCATATCAAAATGTTGTGATTGGTTCATGTATGCTACAGGTGCGACATCTGTGTTCATGTAGCATAACCATGTTTGGAATGTGACTTTTAAATAAATTTGTCAGTCTGTCGTTTGAATGCACACGGTCATTTTATTAATAGTAATCATAAAAAAATCATCAGAATTAAATCATAAGCTACTATCTAAATCTATACTATCTTATTTCGTGTTTCTAATTTTGAAAACGACAAACTCCATACAACTTTTTTTCTCTTATTTTACTCCCTTAAGATTTCCAAAAAAACTTGTTTAGTGGGGCTTAAAACATAAAAGCATCAGCTGCCAATATTTCAAGTTAGTTGAGTTGAGGTTCTGTGTTGATGAATCAGTCGGTTATTTGTAGGTACGGATGTGTAATGTTATTTTATTTATTTTATTTTTATTTTAAGCCTTGTTTATTCCTTAATAAAATGCAGTTACATTAAATATATATACCTATCTACAATTACATTTACAATATTTGATTTCCATTCAATTCAATTCAATTTTTCACTTGAATATAAATAAGATATAAAAAAATAAAAACAATATAAAAACGCTTTTTACATTTAAATTAACATCCATGTATGAGCATTATTTATTGTTATTGTTATTCTACACCGGTTATTTCGTATTTAATTTCATTAATGTATTGCATTATCCATTATTATTATTATCTTTCTTTTTGTCAGTCATTGATAGTATTAAGGACCTCCCTTCTGAGTAAGTGAGTGTAATGTTATAATATAGAATATTTGTTTTTATGCTTAAACAAGCATAGGTAGGCCTTACAAATAGTAGTTTCGACACTTTCGATTTGGCCAATTCAGTTTTAGAGTGCTGTTTATGTTGCAGGGAGCAAATACGCCACTATGGACTGGTGATGATGTAGTTCCATCTTTGATAGCGTTATTAGTATGGGTTGGAAAAAAGATAAGTGATTAAAAATATGTATCTTTTCCACTTTTATTTGTATTTGATCTAATTTTTTTTAATTATAGTTACATACACAATGTTAGGTCATATAAATCACTAAGCAATCTATATATTGGATAATTTTCGTTTGATAATGACAATATTGTTCCTTCAATACTCTGTGATTAAATGTTACATTTTTGAGAATCTTATAAAAATAAAACTTCCAATCTATAATGATTATAAAATAATTACTCAACGGTTAATATTGTACAATCAAAAATCAATTCTTCTATAGACTGACGTATACAGCTGACGTTTTAGGTTGCTTAACTTTTTGGTACAAGCCCCCGAGGCTCCGAAACTAGTCTAACTAAAATTAATATAAATATAGTATAAAATTCTTCTATTACAATATCTCAATGTTTTTAAATAGTCCATCACAACAATATTTTTATAAAGCTACTACATTATTTAAAATTGTCTGTTCATCATTTAGGTTTCCAAAAATTTGCATATTTTCTTTGTTTACGGAGCGACGACGCCGTAACTACATAGATCAGGCATGAATAATAATAAACTTCGTCGACTATGTGAAACATCAAACACCACAACACACGTTTTTAAATGATGTCCGGACTGAATCTTTTCTAAACTCATTTGAACAAGCCATTTTCGAACTACACAATAACCTTGTAAAAAATTATGTAATTAAAATATAAATTTCCAATAGCTTTAAGGTCATTCTCTAAATTCAATATATTCTTGCTTCACGAATGCATTTTGATTAGACCTTCTGAAAATTGGAATAAATTGATCTAAAAAGTTGCCGCTGTGGTGACGCCCAGTGTGGTGTGACCCCATACTACGCTTATATTCCATGTCTTGAGCTTCGTTAAAATATTTCGCCGTCCAGTAAGCCGCGAAGGCGGCGGCACCGAACAGCATAACACTGAAAGCAAAAGAATGAAAATAATTGACAGGTAATATATTATTATACTGTATACATAGTTAATAGACTAGGACTGCCTGGTAACAGCCTGTTTGGTGTTCAGACATCCATCTATATAAGTAATATCTTTTCTCTGATCTCTTCTCTTTCGATATGCTTAAAACAAAAAAAAAAATCCTAAGTGACAGATTGATAGCAATAGGCTAACCCCAATAAGTAAATGGGAAAATTTAAGTATTTAAAATGGGAATATAAAAGTCTAATATGCCTAAGCTAAGTGAAGTCGAAGAGGCATTTGTCCAGCAGTGGACAGATGTGGGCTGATGTGGGCTGTTGTGGGCTGATGATGATGAAGCGACGTCGTATTAGACTTGCCCTTTGCACCCGAAAATATATGTATGTGTACGAATACATATAACTATTTAAAAGAATATAAAAGTGTCGTCATGCCTATTTTATGACAGTTACATAATAGCTAGACCCATGAATAATTTTATTACCCTAAAATAAAAGCAAACTGAACTTTTCAGCCATATACATTAACATATTCAAACACGAGGCTCAGTGATGTATACTTTTTTAAAAAGGTTTGATTTAAATATAACACGAAATAATAATTTGAAGATAGAGAGATAGAGATAGATAAATAGAAAGAAATAAAAGGCCGGCAACACGTTTGTGACTTCTGAGCTGCAGATGTTTATGGGCGGCGATGGGCACTTTCCATCAGGTGACTCGTCTGCTCGTCTGCCGACTCTGACATAAAAAAAAACCTAAAAACTTGTGAGTGAAATACGTTATGCAAATTCTATTTTCTACATGACATATGACCACTATCTGTATCTGTATATTGTGAAGGATGGTAATGTAACGGAGTACTATGTGATGTTCAGTGGTTCATTACTGGAGGAACATGCACTAACAGCCAATTATGGCGTAGCTTAACAATCTTGTGGTTGTGTGTAGAGCCGTGTTGGGGCGGTTGGGGTCATTACATTTTGAGGTCAGTACTTCCGATCGGACATGTTTCTGTTAAGAATATGAATTGCATTCTGTTTTTAAATTTTTATTTACCACGACACCTCATTTTGAACTGAAATTAGTTCATATTTCATATCTGGAATTAAACAACATCTATGGGCAACGCTTTACGCGCTAAATTTAAAGAAAAATGAAATCTTAATAAAAATTGAGTGTATTTATACAAGTTAAAGTAATACATTTTTCGTTCTATGAATTCAATCGAAGGGACCGCCTTTGGCTTAGACTTGGCCCTTTAATCTTTTCGGCAATAAATCTACGGATTTACGCACTCTCTCCGATGGGAATTAAGTTCACTGCGCGCTCAAAATATTTCTTACAACAGCCTCGATGTTTTGCTATTTATAACTTCTTATAGTTTCTAGTTTTGTACTTAGAATATTTAAAATTTCTTTGACACTATTGTGTACATGTTTTTAAGTTACGCTAGCGTGACATCATCATCATCATTAGTAAAGCAGTACCTTTATTGAAAAGACCTACGCTTTATCAGATATTTGCTCTCTTACAACTTTCAAATCCACTGAAGCGGAATATATAAGTTAATTCTTCTATAGCTTAATGTTGGTTTTTAGTTCTTCTTTCGGATAAGAGCTGACTGTTTTATTTTCTTCAGAAAATATTTAAAGTTTACACAAAAAGGGTTAATGGACATGTATTAGAAAAATGCAGAGCTGTGCAATGCGCTATGGCTTTTGATTGTCCCGATTTTACGACGTCAACAACAGAACACTGTGAGCAAATCAAATAAAACTAGCACCTTTTTATTGATTTTATATCAGAATATAGGGATTTAGATGTCTCCTGTTCTCTTTTATTTATTTTTTGCCAATTTGACCTTACCCTCTAAGTGACCGTTAACTAGACTTCGCTCGCTTATTAATGGTTATAGTTGACGCCCAGACTCAGATCAATAATATATAATCAGATCACAACACTCAGTGCAGTAGGAAGCGGTGAGGTGACCGCTTGAACCAATAACCTATCCGTGAAGCGATTATAGTTTGGTAGGACTAACTAAAATCAAATCAAAACGATCGTCTGAACTCTCAAACTCTAGGGGTTCACTAGTAGTTAGTGATGAATTCACAGCTCAAAGATAACAAATTATAACATTATCATTCAAACTACAGATACAAACAAAGTATGCCATATTGAGTTCCAATAGTTGTTTACTTGGAATATCTGTGTCGAATAATAGTGCGCTTGATGTTTAGCGATTAGTTTGAAATTACCTATCAATCATTGTCTAACTATCTGATTGTATGTCTCAGCATCTAGCTGTATAGAGAAGACAATATTGAACGTAAGATATAAAACACTTTAAAGCACAGCTAGCCCATGTAATTTATTAGTTCAAATTAAAACAGAAATCCTCAGAAAATAAACTATATTATTAAAAACAAAATATTAATATATTTATATACATATACATATTAATAGATTCTTATTGTATTCTGATTTATTTTTATTAACAAAAGCAACAAAATAAAAAAAGTTATTTTAAAACAGTTTTTAACAAACGACCAGATTTCACTAAAAACATATATAAACTCTGCAGAAATCTAGCTTAACATTGGTAGTATTAAAAAAATTAAAGAAACTAAACCATTTTTGAAGAAAAAACTAATGAAAATTAAAAACAAATGCATGTTAGAATGCTTTCATTTGTGCGCATATTACTCAAACGAATGAAGTTTAAAGTAGATAAAATGTTGTGCTTCAAACTTACGTTAGACCCTCAAAATTGTGTATATATGTATTTACACAAAACAAAAAACTGAAGTACTCACATAGGAATCACCATGTTAATATAGACTTTTTATTTCGCTACTGTTGCCGCGACTGTCTACGACCACGGCTTTAAGCAAATAACTAAAGTGGAGCTAACAATTATAAATTGACTTCGATCATTGGGTTACGTAAGGCTTACATAACTGCTTTGTTCTGTTCGTTTTCTTGCATCACTCATAATATTTAGTTACAATACTGTGAATTATAGCTGTATAATAAAAATAATACACGAGTATTTTTAGTCTCGTTCGCACAAAATAAAAGATAAAGCAAAAGAGACAGGAGATTTTAATTATGATAAAGATATTTTATTTTCTTACTGCCCCAGAGTTTACAATAATATATATATGTAATGCCTTTAAGTTTACGTCTTATATAGGACACAACTAGAACTTTACGTGCTCGAGTAAGTTATGGAAGATGTCAAAAAAGTGGTGTTTAGGTATACTGTTAGAAGAAGCATTACCTTTGAAAGACAGAATTTATGAGTAAAGCCTTTACCGATTACCATCATCTTCCTACTCTGTCCTATTTTATTAGAGATCAGCGCAACGTGTGACAAAACAAGAATGTAATTTATTATAAGGGAAAAGTAGAGTAATGGAGGTCCCACGCTAGACTGGCCACACTTCGATTGTTTGCCATGATGGATTTCAATGGCTTGCTCATTAATGCTCATTAAAATATTTACCTAACATAATATAAAAATTTTGAACTTGACTTCAAATTCAAATTTAATTTAAAGACTTACCCAGACCCTACACTGTACTAACGCAGTTTTCTCTAATACTGCATACGGATTAAAAAAAAAAAACCTATGTAGTGTGTTTCAGATTTCAATAAATGAATGTATATGATATTTATGTATGAATGTGGTATTTATTTCAATGAAGTTCTTCCTTTGATTTTACGTCATAAAGCGTCATATTAAATTTGAAATTAACTACATAAATAAAAATCAACTTGGCCAGCCGCACAAACAGAGAGATAATAATAATATATAATAATAATAATATTCATTTATTTCTCTCATCACAAAGAACTTATAAATACAGATCAGTCAGATTGGGTACAACATTGCTTTGTGAGAGACTGGTGTCTGCGGTAGGTAAAACCTGTGTTACAGCTCACCAGGCTCACACCTTCTGGACGGAACATAGTTATATTTCTTTAGCACGTACTAGTTTGTAATACATTATACTAGTATAAGTAGACAAACAAGAGAAAAGCAATAAAAAATAGCAAAAAGAGATGTGTGTGTGTGTGTGTGTGCGTGTGTGTGAGTGTGAGTGTGGGTGTGGGTTTGCTTGCGAGTATACGTGTATGTGTGTGTCTGTAAGTGGGTATGTGTTTGTTTGTGTATGTGTACATGATTATGCTAGTGCATGTTATGTATTTGTATAATTCCAACTATAATAAATAAACAAATAGACATTATTTTTTATTTATTTTTATTTTTTTATTTATTTATTTTCATGTTTAACTTAATGGCACAAGTAGGCTTTCTGTATCATCATAGGTTAGGTTTTGTAGCCATGTTGTTAATACTGTTTTTAACTTATATTTATTACAGGAGTATATGCAAAGGATAGCATTAATTTTATTATATAGGTATCGGCCCAAAAAACAATAGAACCTATGAGATAAAGTGGTTTTATGGATTATGTCAGCTTGAAAGATTTTATGTTTTCGACGTTTTTCTGCAACAATTAGGGGATCATAGATAGTTGATGAGTGAGACTTAAGAATAAGACGAAAAATAAAATGAGATAAATGAACATTCATTACTCAGAGAGAAAAGCAAAATATTTGCTTCCATCGCATTGCTATGCTTATTTAATAACTGCATCTGTATGTTGTGGCGTGGCTTTAAGCAGACAAACACATTAAAGTGACAATTTATTTAAGTTGAGTGATTTAAAAAAGGTGCAAACAGAATTGTTGGTGTTTAGTTGCTTTGCCTTGAAATACCTAAAGTAACTAATATAGCATTCGTGGCTATCATATTAAAGTGTAATAAACGTTATCGAAGAAAAGGTCCCTTCTCTTACTCAAACTCTCATTATTTAAAAAAAAAAAAATGTTTGAAATCTTCTTTTATGTAGACTCTAAAGTCATAGATCAAAACACACTATAGCAACAATCTCTGGCTGTGCTGGGGTGCTGGCTAGAAAACCTCCCCGTGGTGCACCCTGGAAACGCTGGCGATGGTACTGTTTCCTCCTTGTCCTCTTGGAGGAGAGGATTATCGCCAGCGGCCAATATTCTAGCAGAAGAGGCAGCCGTTCATCGGCTCTCGGGCAAGGCCTGGTCCAGCAGGGTGGGCGTGTCTGCCGGTTGCCCTGCTGGCTCTTCGCTCTTCGGAGCATGGAGGAGGAAACCTCGGTAAAAAACCTGATGGCGGGGCCCTGTAGGGGCCACAGTTTCTCCGCTGACAGCGGTGGAGAAAGGAGGACGGGCTCGGCGTGTACTCACACTACCACCGAGCAGGCAGGGGGACGTAGTCTCCCTGTCAACCGTCGGCATATCGTAATCCCGAGAAGAGCGCTGTGGTTAAGTCTCGCGGCTCTGATCGGGGGCGAGGGTCTTGGCTTAACCGCCCGGACCGCGAGGAAGATAACCTCTGTAAAAAATTCCCCGAATCCCGTGTTCTGGTGCGTGGCCAGGGGATGCATGGCTGATGGGAAGTTCAGTCGCGAGCGCACTCCAAGCCGAGGTACCTGCGGACCCCTCGGTTGGGTTAAAAACTTACGCTTGCCCGGGTAATGGGGGATCTCTGCCCGGGTGGACCTCTAGTTCTCCCCCACTCGTGGGATTTAATATGGATACTGTTCAAAACCTAAAACAACAACAAAAAACGATCGGAAATAACCAACAACAGAAGGCAAGCCTAACGGAAACGAAGAAAACGAAGGGAAGGAAGGAGAAGCAAAACAGTGGAGCGGATGGGTCGTCCACTGAGGGTGAGATGGTGTCAGGAACGCCTATCTCGATGGGGCTCCCAGAGGTCAGTCTGACTCTGATCACTGGGAGCCGAAGAGCATCGGATCGGCTGCGTTCCGGATCCGCCGCTTCGTCGGATGGCGCGGAGGCCATGGAGGCGGAACGAAGCGACAGCAGGAAACGCGGACGCTCCAGGGAGGAGGGGACCGACACGTCCGGCGAAATGATGCCACCAAAAGTGGCAAGCAGCCGTCGAGGGAGGGCACGCAAACCGGCCTCGGTTTCGACCCCGTCAGGCTCCGCGTTCTCAAACGCGGAGTCCTACAGAAGCGTACGGGTGGACGGCGAGGCCGTAGCGGAGGAGGAGATCGCGGATCTCCTGCTCAAGGTTCGGGAGCCGGTGGGGGGAAATGCCCCCCAGGCTCCCGTGTCCGTGCAGGAGAGGGCGAAAGCGGCGGTGGCCGTCATCGACAAGGTGGCCACCAAGTCCGTGAACCTTAAGGGCTCGTTTGTGAGGGCCCTTAAGGACTCCTCCTCCGCCTTGTCGGAGGTCGTGGAGAGCCTAGTGGGCGATGTGTCTCGCCTGCAGGTGGCCAACGAGAGGCTGACGGAGCGGGTGAACGAGCTGAGCGCTCAGTTCGCCCGCTTCCAGGCGAACCTCCCCGAGCGGGAAGCCCCGTCCGCGTCCCAGCCTGCCCCTACTACCAACTCAGGGGCATTTGACTCCCAACTGCGAGAAATCCTCATCGCAGTTGGGAATATGCTGGACGGACGCCTGGCTGGCCTGGAGGCGAGACTGCCCCCTGCGCCGGTTGTGCGCCCCCCGCTTGCGTCGACACAGCGGCCTAAGGCCGCCGCTCCGACCGCGCTCCCCGTAGTGGGAGGCCGCGTCTCCTACGCGGCGGCGGCGTCTGCCCCGACTCCATCGGCTCCCCAAAAGCCGAGGAGGGGGGCCAAGGCACCGGCCCAGGCGCCGGCCAAGGCACCGGCTAAGGCGCCGGCCAAGGCACATCCCCAGGCGCCGGCCAAGACGGGGCCTAAAACGGCGCCGAGGAGCGGAGTGGCATTCCCTCCGCTCCCCACTCCGACACCCCTGCCGGGCCCCTCCGCACCTGCCCCCTCCAACGAGGGTTGGCAGGAGGCGAGGGGCTCCAAGAAGTCCCGAAGGCGGGCCAAAAAGGCTGCCAAAAAAGCAGCCCAAGCCCAGCCTTCGCCACCGGTGGCAACGGCCTCCACAAAGAGGCCGCGGAAGCTGCAGCCGCCCAAAACCGCGGCTGTAGTGGTGACCGTGTCCCCGGAGGCGGCGGACGGCGGGCTGTCCTACGCGGCCGTCTTCAAAAAGGCCCGGGACAGCCTCGCCAACGATTTTGGAACGGTGGGGGTCAGAATGCGCCTCGCCCAGACGGGAGCTCGAGTCCTCGAGTTCCCTGGGGCTGAAGGCGCTAAGACGGCGGACACATTTGCCGAGAAGCTGCGGGGACTCTTTACAGCCACGGATGGTGTAAAGATCGCCAGGCCTACTAAGTGCGCAGAGCTGCGCATCTCGGGCCTGGACGACTCTGTGACGGCCGAAGATGTCCGCGCTGTAATCCGGGAGAAGACGGGGTGCAGCGCGGGCAACGTCAGGGTCGGCACCATCCGCCCCGGTCCAGGAGGGCTTGGCGCCGTGTGGGTCAGCTGTCCCGTAGCGTCGGCCAAAGTATTGGCCGACGCCGGCAGGCTGCTCATCGGTTTCGTGAGCGCCAGGATCACAGTCCTGGCGGCGAGACCGATGAGATGCTACAAATGCCTAGCATCGGGACACACGCGCGTCAAGTGCGACAGTTGTTTTGACTGCGGCGGACTGTGTTTCCGCTGCGGTCAACCGGGGCATAAGGCGGCAGAATGCTCTGCCGCCCCTCACTGCCCAGTGTGTGCGGCGGGCAATAAGCCCGCCAATCACCAGATGGGGCAGAGAGGCTGCAAGCCTCCCCGCAGTTCTCGGCAGACGTCGGGTGTTAGCCAGTCGACCCAGGCTGCCTCCGATGTAGTTCGTGCGTCGACGTCGTCGCCCATGGAGGAGGTTGTAGA